ATTACCGTATTCGTATTCGCAAGGGCGATGAATAGAAGACAGCCTTTCGCACTCGCTATAGCTATTTCGAGTACTTAGTTATGCTATTTAGGCTAGCTAATGCCCCTACTACATTCTAGTCCTACATTAATCGGGCCCTATTAGGCCTATTAGATTACCTCTGTATAGTTTACCTAGATAACATCCTAGTTTATATACACTTACCTAATATTGCGGAGTACTAGGCTATAGTCTACAAGGTCCTTAACCGCCTGCGAGCCTATAGACTGTATTGCAAGCCTTCTAAATGCATCTTTACTACTAAGGAGGTAGCCTTCCTTAGTTTCATCGTATTAACTAATAGTGTTAAGGCTAATCCTAATCGAATTAAGACTATTACTAAATAGCTAACACCTACTAGCATTAAAGAGCTTCAATTATTCCTAGGTTTTGCTAACTTCTACCGTCGATTTATCGAAGGTTACTCGCGGCACGTAATGCTACTAACGGAACTTACTAAAACTAAGGCTAATCTATCTAGAGAGTTCAAATAGACTAATAGAGTACAAGCCGCTTTTAACGGTCTAAAGCAGCGCTTTACTAAAGTCCCCTTGTTATACTATTTCGTGCTAAATAAGTAGATCCGAATTGAGACTAACGCTTTACAGTTCGCTATATCGGCTATTATATCCTAGCAATTAGATAATAACTATTACTAGCACCCGATTGCCTTCTTTTCGAGGAAGATAATCGATACTAAGCGTCGCTACGAGACCTACGAGCAAGAGCTCTTAGCTATTGTCGAGGCCTTTAAGCATTAGAGGCATTACCTCGATAGGGCCTAATATACGATACAGGTCTATACAGACTATAACAACCTCCGTAGCATTACTAAGGTTACTAGAGTTATAGGTCGACAGGCTAGATAGGCCGTCTACCTCGCTAGGTTTAATTTTGATATATTATATCGGCTAGGCGTAAGCAACCCTGCTAATAGCCTATCGAGGCGACCTAATTACGATAGCGGGACTTAGCAATCTATTAATTTATTGTTTCTAACCCTGCAGTATAAGATTGCTATAGCCCGTATTGTTAATAAGTACGCGTAGGATAAGCGGCTTACCGGACTCCGCGACGGCTTAAAGTATATTAATACTCTTGCTATATTAATAGTGCGTGTTAAGGCAAGAGCTAAGGACACAGATAGGAGAAGTTATAATAACTCTCTAGTCGACATCGTAATATATAGTAACAGCGATAGCACTAATGCAGTTAATCCGGCTACTAGTGCTATTAGATGTATATAATGCGTACCTCGTTTAATAGCGAGGGTGCTATTAAATAACCTTACAAATAGGGATAGTTAATCGTTTATAGATAAGCTGTTACGGGCTTAGCAGAGGGACGCCTTTGCTACTAAACGTATAGATAAGCTTGTAAGTAGGCGAAAGACTCGATCTAGTAAGAGTAACAATTAGTCGATCGATAACAAAGGTTATTTAAAGTTCAAGGGCAGATACTATGTCCCCGCTAAACATTCGATCCGACAAGAACTTCTTAAGCGACACTATAATAGTAAGCTTGCCGGTTACTATAGTATAGAGAGGTCGTACGAGCTACTATCGCGTATATACTACTAGCTAAATAGTAAGCGGGACATAAAGGACTACGTAAATACGTATGCCGTGTATTAACGAGTTAAAGCGCCGAAGCACTTGCTATTCGGCGAGTTGTCTTTACTCCCTATTCTAAAGAAGCTATTTGCAGAGCTTATAATAGACTTTATTATAGGACTTCCGCCTACTAAGCGCAGGGGGGAAGTATATAATACTATCCTTGTTATAGTAGATCGATTTACTAAGGGCGCTCGATATATCCCGGCGCGCAAGGATTAGACTGCTATTAATATAGTAGAGGCGCTATAGACTAACATCTTCTATACCTATTAGGGAACCCCTAAGGGGATAGTCTCCGATAGGGGCTCGACATTTATATCGTACTATTAGAGCGAAATATGCCTATAGCTAAGACTAAAGCATCGGCTATTAATAGCCTTCTATCTATAGACTAACGGTCAAATAGAGAGACAGAATACTACCCTATAGTAGTACCTGCGTAGTTACATTAACGAGAACCCTAAGGATTGGGTTAATCTCCTACAACTAGCCGAATTCGTATACAACAATAGTGTCTACTTATCTACTAAGGTGTTACCTTATTTCGCTATAATAGGAAGAAACCCTACGCTACTATAAGACCCCCTATCGCTCGGGGCCGAGCGTAAGGAAAGGGAAGCGGGTTAACCTAAGACACTAGCGGCTATTAAGAGGGTTTAGAAGATGCGAGAAATCTATACTAAGATAGCCGAGAAGTTAACAAAGGCTTAAGAGTACTAAAAGACCTACTATAACAAACACTACCTTCTAATAACCTTTAAGTAAGGCGATATAGTTATGCTTAGTACAAAGAACCTCCGCATCCGCAAATACCTATTACCCGATAGTAAAACAAGGCCTAAGCTCGTACTAAGATACATTAGCCTATTCCGTATCCGAGAACCGAAGGGCATACAGGCCTACTAGTTATAGCTTCTACCCTATTATACTATCTATAACACCTTCTATATATCCCTCCTTAAGCTATACTATTAACGCGAAGGCGACGAAGCACCTACTAAGTTAGAAGAAGTCTTAGCTAATAGTAAAGAACTGTAGTCTGTAGAACGTATCCTATAGCACCGGACTAGGAAAGGCAAGAAGGAGTACCTATTAAGATAGCAAGGCTATTTACCTAAATAGGACTCGTAGGAAGCTAAAGCCTCTTTTAAAGACATAACTAAGTTATTAGACGAGTATTAGACTAGTATAAAGAATAAGAAGAAGGCTAAAAGCTCGTAATGTTACTAAGGCTTAGGATTAATAGCACCCCCGGGGTGCTATTAGCTAACTAATTAGAGGCCGACAAACTAGAACAATAAGACTACACTACTATAGTAGACGCGCACTAAGCATTAACAAACGCGCTATAACTATTAACTAATCGCCTGCTCTTTTAAGGATTCTACCTCTTCCTTAATGCGCCCTATAGGTCCCTCTCTTGTTCTTTATTCTATCGAGGCCTCGAGACCTAAGCGTTCGATAAGGGCGACGTGCGCGCGCGTGCGAATAACGGTAATAAAGGTAATAGTGTCGCGCTACGAGCTAGCAGTACGCCGGCGGCCGGCGCGGCTATATTAGTAACGGTATTGCGGAGTATATTATTAGTCGAAGAAGGAAATCGAAAGCAAGGTAAAGTTAGCGCTAAGACGACTAGCGCTACTATTATTAACATTACTTACTATTGTCGCTACGCCTATAGATATAACCTTACCTATACTACGAGCCTAAGGCATCCTTAATTAAAACTTTAATTAAAGCCTTAAGCCTATTAAAGGTTTAATTAAAACTTTGAGGCTAAGCTAAAACTTTAACTAAGTTAAAAGATTAAGCGACTAATAGACTAACTAAGGGCAAAACTATAGAGCTAAGCTAGCCGGGGTCGATCTTACGGATAATAGGTTACTCCTCGATCTTTCCGACCCTTTAAGCGAGGCGAACCTCTACTACTATACTTACAATAGCCTTTACCTATAGAAACTAGAAGAACTAAGTTTTTTAAAAAGATATAATTAGTTAATACTTAAAGGCTGCTAAACCTAACTAATTTAGGCTAGTAAAACTACGATAGTAAATAATAGCCCTCGTAATAATAAGAACAACCCTCGGAAGCGGACAAACCCTCGGAGCGGACATTTCTAGGTCTATTAGAGTAGACGTAAAGAACTCGTACGATATTACTTAGAACGGAGGTAGTACTATAATACCTCGTACGTCTACCTATTATAGTAGGGAAGACGCGCTCGTATTGTAATTAGTCGAAGGCCCTTAATTCTTATAGATATATATCACTTTATAGTTCATTGTATATAGGGATAGCGTAGTTAGAGTTAGATATTGTACTATATTAGAGGTAAGGTTTAATATAGTTATATAATTAGGTAGTTAAGTGTTTAATTTAGCGCGGCTAAGCAGCTTATTAGACTTGCTAAGTTAGTAGCAACGGAGGTCGAGGTTGGAACATAGGAAGGCTACGAGGGCGCGGCCTTTGGAAGGGAAGCGTGTGTTAGAGGCTACACGTGATTGGCATATGACTAGCTCGAGTAAAGCTAGGGTCTCAGTGCCTCAGGCAGGGCTTGGCGCTTGGCGTTAGGCCAACTCTCCTGCCTTCCTCCCTCTCCTCCTAGATCCTTATCGAATACTACTTGTACCCACTACCACCCTATCTACCTGCTGACATAACCCTTCTCACATCGTACTAAGCCTGTTTGCTACCCTAGACACCCCTCCAGCGCTTAGAAAGCGTTGAACGCTTGACTCTATAGGTCCTAGCAGTCGCATTAATATTAGGCCTCTCCTGGCTGTTTAGATCATCAATCGCCTTCTCAATCGGGTCTATAGTTGTGGAGTTATTCACTTGCAAAGAGAGTCCGCGGAAGTGCTGAATACCGTGCGCCAAGGCTGACCGTGCGCCATGGCTGGAAACCTTCTAGATGCGGCGTGAAGCAGAAGACTGCATATCAAAGCATGAACACCGTCTCGCATACCTGCTCGGTCCCAACATCAATCCCCGCTGTAGCTTCCACGGGACGATCAGACACATCGCGGTCCGACAGCCTGCAAGCGAATCGTAGAATAGCTGGCGTGACCGACTGGGATTGTGATTGTCACATCCGCTCCGAGCATCTTAGTCGTGCCTGAAAACGACCAGGCTCTCGCATCTCATCACATCACTCATCCGCGATGTGAAGTGGCCGGGATCTTGAGGCCCAGCTTCATTCATAGCATGTAGTTCTGACTACTGCCGCTAGTCGGAGTTTCAGTCTGCGAGACTCTTGCAAGCGAACGCGATCATGGTATTCGCCCGTCAACGGCGTCGACGACAGAATGCCTTCAATCTGGCTGTTCGTGACATTGGCGACGCACATGCTGTCCGCTGTCAGCTCCCTTGAGCCACGCAGCCAGCACAAAGCACTCGCTCTCAAACCAGCACTGGCACTTTTCGCGCAGATCCCAACATGCGCACAGAACTGCATTCTTTCCGCGGGCTCTGCAGCAGGCTGTTCGTTGACCGACATCCAATGCAGTTGTGACAGCCACCATGTCAACAAGCAGTCCACCGACTGTGTCCTTGCCAACTGTACGATCCGACAGGCGTTGGTCACGAAGAACCACACCCAGACCATGTGCGGTCGACCCATACGAGACACCAGGAGGACGATTCAGATTTCTGCCACGACCTACCAGACCACCGAAGCCGTCGCATATTTGCTTCGAATCGCCTCCAAGATCCACGTTCAATGGCCGTGGAATGGGCGGGCGAAGATCTTCACTCAGCTATGGTGGGACGATGTGGTCATCACCGCCGCGCTTTTGATGTCGTTGGGCGAGGCTTCACTCGCTCGCCCGATCTCTTCCCCCGGGCTGGGACAAGACATCTGGACTCTGCTACCCCATCAAGTCGACCGCTTCGCCAAGATGTTCTTCTACGGCGAGCTGTTCTACATCATCGGACTGTCGACGGTGAAAATCTCCATCTGCCTTTCATACCTCCGCTTCTTCGCGTCGCCACGCTTCCGAAAGCTGGTCTTCGTGGTCATCCTGCTGAACCTGTTATACATGCTCGGGTTCACCATCCCGACCATCTTCCAATGCACGCCCGTCTCGTATTGGTGGAAGGAGTGGGACCATGCGAGAAAAGGACATTGCATTGCGAAGACCAAACGACGGCTTCAGGGACTGGTCTGGACCTCTGCCGGCTTCAACATCTTGCTCGACATGATAGTTCTGGGAATGCCGGTCCCACTGGTCTGGAAAATGGAGCTCAACACGAGGAAGAAAATCCTGGTGATATTCATGTTCACGTGTGGGCTCTTCATCACCGCCATCAGCATCCTGCGCCTGCACAGCCTGGTCAAATTTGGCGACACGATGAACCCGACTTGGGACTACCGATGGATGGCCCGCTGGAGCACGATAGAACTGGCGGGCATGGTCGTCTGCGCCTGCATGCCGGGCATCCGGAACTTCATCCGGAGACTATGGCCAGAAGCAGTCGGTGAGACGACAAGGGGTGGCGTTGAGTCGATCCAACCCGGCCTGTACGAACCCAAGAGCTCGTTCCGAACCACCGGCGCCAGTCAGACCGATGACATTGAAAATCTCGTCGCATATCAAAAGCAAATCCGGCTTGAGGAGTTGGCGACGGCGACGCAGAAACGCACGGCTGTTCGGTGGAGCAAGGCCAGCATTGATGCCACTCAACTCCAGCAGATCGCAGGCTGGAACCTGGGCAGCAAAAGAGGCGGCGACGACGCCCAGTTCAATGCTACTCCGCCTCTCGACACGGTCTTGAACGCCACAGCTCCACTGGACGACGACCTTCCTGCCGACCGCAAACGTCGTACGTTTTGGCGACCGTGGAAACGGAAGTCGGATCGTGGCTCTGTTCGCAACTCACGATCTTCTCAGCTTACGCCTTTATCGACGCAGCGCACTCCGACGCCCAAGCCAGCGGACTTCACGAGCAGCACCTTGGTCAGTGGCGACGCCAAGAGTCAGCCGAGTTTGACGCCTTCGACGTCGAGAGGCAGATCTCCTTCTTTTGCGCTGTCGCTTGATGCTCGGAATGCTGCGATTGAACCTGTCAGGGAGCAAGCTTCGTTTGATTGGTTAAGACTGCGTGACGACGGACAATCTTAGAGCTTACTCTGTCAGGATGCTGGGTCGAATGTGTGAGACAGCGTAGTGCCCTGACTTCGCTCTTGAAGAAGTTCGAATCCTGACACGCTCCGTGACACCATACGACACGACTTATGAAAAGGGCGCCCTAGAGAAGCGGTCTACGATCAAAGTCGGGACGTCGCCCCATTTGCATGACATTCGGCTTGTCACTCATAATGGCAAGCAATTCTTCCCAGTTCTGCCAGACGTTCTTGCAGGCATCTCGCAACTCAAGATTCGCGCCGACTGCGCCCCAGAAGACCCCAATGATGATGTCCTGGACTTGACACTCGGTCAAAGCATTTCTCGCACTGTCTTGGTTGTTCGTCAAAACTTTCTTGGGGTCCGACACGGTTGTCGACCTTTGAATCTGAGCAAGGGAGCCAAGCTACAATTGCTCCATCAACAGCGCGAGTCGCATTCGGGGCTTGAAGTCGTGTGGTTAGAGACCACTGGGCGGCAAAAGTTCGTGGTCACGGTTCATCCCGTGCTCTCATCCATGGCGCCGGTGAATACCATGCAAGTCGCCGCATCAACGGAGCATATCTGCAAGATTCGGTCCGGGGAAGACGATGGTTTGCCATGTTGGACTGCTCATTCTCACCACAGCGATCGAGTCACATTCCAGCACGCAAAACCCGTCGCAAGCATCAGATATCTGGGACAACCCATGCACAGAAGGCGGGCTCCTCTACCAAAGCACGATTGGCGACCACCACGGCAGTACACGAACGACGGGTACGAAGAAAAGCTCCCCGACATTCTCTACGTACTCAAAACATCTCCCGATGCTCTCTTCTTTGATTGCATCAAGAAGCAGTATCCACGTCTCAATGCCGATGGCGAAACAATCTGGGTAATCGTAGAAGAGAATGAAGGCACCAACCCCCGACGTCGAAAACCAAAGATGCAGCTTGATATTCCATCACTCCCAGCACATCTCGCCGCGGGAGAAGATGCAGCCCTATTTTTCGGCCTTTGCAATTGCTGGTATCGATCTTGAGCAAAGCATGGCGCTGCTTGACGATCCGAATCTCTCTCTCTCTCTCGGCCATGCATCGCAGATCTCGGCCTGCAGAAAAGCGGCCAGCCTCAAGTACGGCTTTCCGGTCAAGACCCCTTCTCTGCTTCAGCGGCAGCAGAATTCTGGTCGCGGAAGCATTCCCGGTCTGATCGACCCTCTTTCAGCCCATCAGCTACAATGGACAGAGTGTTGTCAACTGGATAGCCTACCCTACGTCAAGCAAGGATCGACTTCTTGGTGCGCGACGCGAGGCACATGAAGCTGAGCGCTTGCAGGACTTGGATCGGGCTTGCGAGGAATTGACGAGGAAACAAGTAGCAGCCGGTCCTCGGGTGATTTCACAGCCGCCTCCCAATCAACCACGGCAGCAAAATGATCGGTCTGGACAAGTTGCAGGGAAGAAGCGGAAGGCGAGTGAGGTTGAGGCCGATCAGGATGTCGAAGAAGACACTTCAGCGCCGGTATCAGATGTCTCTCTCCAGCGACCGAACACAGTGGACGAAATGGAGTTAGAGCTGGTGCTGGGCAACGATCCTACCTCCGCAGAGCCGATTCTGAACGGTCTGGAAGGAGATCGGAGAGAGGGCTAGTCTGGCAGGAGATAAGAGGCTTGCAATCATTGTACCTACACACTAGTGCTCTGATGTATCAATAGAACCAAGCCCTGTGCATGAAGTCTCTTCACTACCAGTTTTAAAATTCTATCGGAATGATAAAAATGGAGGCGAAGTGAGATGACGGCCAGTAGTCCAATCGGTCCACGTACGCTACCTTGATCGCTCATCATGTAAGGGGAATCCGGACATCCGATCTCTAGTCTGAAGGAGGTTTCAGCATCGCGAAGCCCTCCGAGCAATAATCAATTGAGCGTACACCTCTCACCAAAAACATCTTCTACGAAATCGATCCTTCGACAAAGACCACAAAGGCACTGCCCGCCGCATCTGACATGAATAACCTCCGATTATGAGGCGATAGTGGAGCGACCCGAAGACGCATAGAGTGATCTCTGGATTGCATCCTTCACCTTGCTTGGTCGTCTCGCTCGACCTGAGCATGGAGCGCTTTGCCATTCTCCACCAGTAAGCTCATCATCATCAGAGAGAACAGAGCGAACACTTCAGATCCCTCTGATCGTCTCAAGCCTGACGCTTCTCCGCTGGAGCCTTCCTTCTCGGCATTGTACTTGCGAAGAACGCTCTTCGTGTGAGCGACCCCGAGAAATGATGATGGCGACGGAGGGTTCGAAGCCTGGTAATAGGCTGAGGATTGGATTCTTCGCTTGCATTTCGCTGTTGCTGAAGGGCGGTGGCATCATCTGGGTGTCGAAGCGTGCACGTTCTTGTAGGGTCAGTGGAGAAGGTTTGCTTAGAGTGTCGAGATGCCAGGTGATGTTGAAGTCGTCGGAGTCTGGAGTGGCGTGCTTTTCGGTTCTCGGTTTCTTGGGAGGACGAGGGTAGTCGAGCTTGAGTAGTGCTTTGATTGGGCATTCTTTGGCTTGTTGGATCTCTGTTCTGATGGATAGGAAGGAGTCTTGAGCTTCTCCGTAGAAGTCAAGTCATCCTCTCCGCCGTCCAGAGGTGAGCAGACCACAGGGAGACACATCGTGCAGGCAAGGAGACGACTGTGGAGCGCGCTTCTGGTACTCAAGCAAGAACGCAAGCCAAAGGCAGTGGAAGGAAATGAGCTGAGATCACAACGCAGATCGTGGACCTTCTCAGGTCAAAATTCATGTCTGCTGATGTAAGGTTGATAACGACGCAGCAATTGAGGATGCCTTCGCTGTGAGGCATCGACGCAGTTCGACACGAAGGAGGCGCGCTTGATCTCAAGTGAATGGAGCCGGCCATATCACACTTTGGATGCCGCCAACACTGCTAGTGAAGGTCCAAAGTGTTGGCGTTGCTTCACTAACGCTTCGGAGGCTGCAAAATCGAAAAAATCGGTACACTGAGTCATTGATGTAAGTACATCCAGACGTACCCGCTCGGCTACTGCTTGAACGCTTGTTCATGGTTGATAGAGAAGTTCAAGGTCGGCCCGAGCATTCAGCATGACGAAAGCTCTCAGCCAAAGCATTGAACGAGGCCGAGATCAATTTGCTTCAATCGATAGGCAATAAAAGCGAACAGGTTAATTGGAGACCAGCAAGATCACAAAGTCCACGTCCCATCTCTTCCTTTGTCACAAGGCAAATTCCGTCAATCGGGAGCAATCCGGTCTGAGTGGTGGACACTCTTTGTCCTCCTTCCGAAAGCGGTAATATTCTCGAGAGAACGCGGCAAGCTCAAGCTCGTATTCCGGCGAGAACACCGAACATGATAAGCATGTGCAAGTCTTTTTAGGGACATGAGGAGGCACGAATCACTCTCATTACATTGATCTCGGATGGTACACAAAACATGCAGCCCATCAACGAAACGAGACCAACACTGCGCCGAAGAAACTCAGTCGCCCTTGCAAAAGTCGCAGAAGGAAAACGACCAACGAACACTGGCGAGATATGGGATGGTCAGGCCGGAGAAGATTGGCTGGCATTAAACGATTTCGACGATGTCGACAACCATGCACTTCCAGAAGACACAGCGACAGATGCAGTATCACCCATCGAGCTTTCCACTGCTTTATGGACAGAATCTTGGAATCATGCAGACGTCAAGAAACATTCCACATCTGCTGTCGATCTCGATCCCGACCGGCTCGGGATCCTTCCAAACCCCGTGCCAACTCTCGACTCGCATGCCATTGCAGTGGCTACATCTGTTGTGGTTGATGCCGATGGAAGTTTTCCTGGGAGAGGATTTTCAACGACGGTGTTGGGTAATGAAACACATGTAGAGACGGGGGCTGGAAATCGTCAGAGGAAGCGGTCCCGTCCGCTGTCATGGATAAGAAGACTGTCGGGCAGCTGATAGTACGAAAATTTTCGTGATGACTGAAAGAGTCTGGCATGAATTTTCTCGCGGAGGAAAGGTGCGCGGACGGCAAATGTGTAGCACGGAATTGGGTGCAGAGAATTTGGCAAGAACATGACAAAGTATGAGGGCTTGAGAAATTCGAGAGCTTGCACGAAGGGAACATCAATTTTGAGGACTACACCAGGTAGAAAGAACGATGAAATCCCCTAGCGGTCTATGGAAAACGAAATTGCAACCAAAGAAACCACAATGCCTCCACCAAACTGTGGCCTTTGAAACAATAACATTGAAGCTGCAGAATGCATCGTCGACGCTCTAGCTGCCTAGCAGCGTTGCATGAAGTCAATTCACATTTCGACCAAATATTAACAGTCAGGCCAGTGAACCATTGATTGTATTCGTCAATTCGATGTACGCCATGTTCAGGCGAAGAGATTCGGGTTGCGTATAGAGAAGATGATTTTGCGAGGAATGGAGACAAGGCAGGTCCAAGACTCAGCACAAGAGCGTTGAACGATAATTCAAAGCAAGATATAGCGCGAGAGCTCTACAATCTTACCAGGCGGGTGAGATATCTGAAAAACAACCTATGCAGTGAACAAAGGCGCCGAGCAAGACATTGAGATGCTATGAAACAGTTTTTTTTTTGAGACATGAATCCGCTCCATCTAAGGCCCTCGCCCGCGCTTCTCCCAACTGTTATCCGAAAATCTTAGTTATCTTCCGCAGCCCTAAATTCCCTTTTCTTCTACCCTTTAATAGTAATATTAGGAAACTCCCGTCGATGCTAATACAACACCTTCCCGCGAGCCTTGAGGTCACAGCGTCTGTGTGGACTGTGTCGCTAGGAAGCTAGCGAGGATTCAGGCACTTGCTGTATCCTATCAAACGCGGTACCATAGCGTGCTTGATCAGAGTAGATAGGTTCGCATTTGAAAGTGCAGTTGGATTGCCAGTCCAGTGAACAATCAATTGTATTTGTTGGTGGATGTATATCAAGGTCAGGACTTGAGATCTGGTATTTTGCACAGCATAGGTAGTGGTAAGGTAGATCAGCTCTGCGTGTAGTAAGCCTATAGCTTACAGGGAAAGTATTAGCAGATGAAATCAGGGCAAACATAAGGCTGACATCTAGAAGCTTGCCATTGAAGGAGATGTCTCAAGAACCCAAACAGCAAACAAAGACGCTGCTTGAAGCAAGAGCCTAAAACCCTAGAGGCATAAAGAAAGACGCCGTAGAGTACTTCGCTTTGATCGGAGCCGATGCCATAAAGTATGTATGCCACACAATCGTTAATAAACTACACTTTTGTAATTGAGAAAGACAAGAAGTCCTGCCATCATGCCCGCAGTGAGAAAATCGATCCCTTCCAACGCCGCGCTCCCTTCCCGTCAATGCCCAAGATTCCTCTTCTGGTTGCATAGTTTCCAACAGTGTAATAACAATGTCGTAACTAAGCGATGTGAATGCCGCTCTTTCGCCAATGCTTGCCAAATACACTCCAAAGGACCTATCGTTTTCGTCGTCATTCTGGGCGGCAAGTGCTCAATCGCTCACCCGCTCACTTATAGTAATGTGCAAAGATGTCGAAAGTCACATATGAACAATGTCGCCTAACTCCCAACCAGCCTGGGTGTATTGCAGGATCTCCATGAAGTATGGACCGCCGAACCGGTTGTTTGCAGTTGGGAGGGCATAAGTGAAACTTTGTACCTGCTGAGTCCGGGGGCGTTTCATCGGGCGGATTCGGCGTTGACGCTCTTGAGCAACTGGTGGAGTGGTCGAAGCGTTGTGCGCCTCAACGATGGTGACATTAGTTGGATAAGTGGCTGGTCGACCGCTCATCGTCGACGCTGGAGTTGCGGAAAGGGTAGAAGGACGATCTTGCTCGCTTGTGTTCGCTAGAGTGTGACCAGAGTTCTTTCTCACTCGCTTTGGCGAGCTTGCTTCAGGTGCTTCCTGATCCGCTGTATCGCCAATTCGGCGCCTCCTCGCTTGGACCGCAGCGACAGTGGGACGAGTTCGAGGGATAGACTCAATCTGGGCGGGTGAGTGTGACGCCGATAGAGAAGTTGCTCTCGTGCGATCGGAGGCAGTAGACTCGGCTGAAGAACTGCTATTGGCATTGGCTGGTCCTGATGTCACGCCGTTGGTCTCTGAGTGAAAGCCTGGAGCCGTGTAGGGGAGACTTCGATCGACAGAAGTGGATGAGTCTTGTTGAAGCGCAGGTAGGCTGGATGCGTTCATGAATTGAAGCGATGAATCAACGACCTGATCGGCAACGTGGTGCTGCGTAGAATTGGATGGGCTATTGGCATGCTGTGGCACGAGTGCTGATGCTATTGTTAGTGTGCTGGTGCTTGGAGTCATGCCGTTGATGTTCGAGGAAGAAGAGTTGTTGCTTGCCGCAGCGCTGAGTGCAGACGACGAGGTCGGTAGGGCAGCAGCAGCACTCGATTGAGCGACCTGCTGTAGAGTAGAGCGAGCGGGCAGCGCAGGCTGTGTACCTGCAGTCTGTCGAAGGATAGTCAAGCGACCGTTGAGGTCCAAGTCCTGTACCTCAGTGGGCGTCATAACGGATGTCTGTAGATTGTTTTGGTTGACATCAATCCTCACCCACTGCCCAGCATGCTGGCCTTGATCCATCAGCACGTAGGTCACGGTTGGTGGAGTTCTGCTCGCAGGCTCGGCCTTTGGTCGAGTTGACGCAGGGAGCTTCAGCAATTTCCGCGGTGCATTGACTCGTGCGACGATGAAGTTGCTCGCGTTGTAGGAGCTCTTCCAAACATAGTCCAGAATTCGAAGACCAGTGGCGAGGATGGCGTTGGAGAAACGCTTTCCAAGATCGTCGGCAAGCGCACCGCAGATGTCGTCTGGATGAATATGACCAGTAAGGATCTGAGCATCGGTCAAGTTGACGTTCCGTGACGCGAGCTCGCTCAGTGTGTCGCGCGTTGACGACAGCTTGCCGAGTGCCGCTGGCATACAACTGGCGACAATGATCTGGTCATGCCATGGGGGCATAGCTGGGCCAGCTGGAGCGCCGCCGTGGACTGCACTGTTGGCCATCGTGGTAGGTTGATTGAAAGGCGATCGCTTACAGAGGTCAGAACGAGGTCACATTAGTGCGCAAAGTAATACTTACAACCTCACGCAGGTATGAGTTGAACGCGATGGGCGTCTGGATCGTGGAACGTTCAGATTTGGAAATGTCAGGAAGGCTGAAGCGATGTAAAACAGGATTCTTGGATGGGTGCTTGCTGTTGTCGAAGTGGAGAAGTCGATTGAAGTTGCGACGCGTCCTACTCGCGACGACAGTGAAGTTCTTTGAAGTTACAATTGTTGATGACCGTCGCGCTGGTAAACATCGCGACGCGGATGTACCCGGCAGTTGCCTAGATCTTCATGTGAAAGTACTAGAGAGATGAATGTTGGGACCCTGCCAAGACATGTCCTGTGGGTGCCGGTATGAAGAAGGATGTTCTTTTCCGCAGATTGCGATGATCCTGAAAGACGTCTTAACCGTTGCTTGAAGCATCTTCGTCGACCTCTGGAAATCGTTTGTCTTTAGCTCGTGGTTCAGCTGCTCCTCGACAGGGGCGCGAGTGGAAGCGGAAAGAGACCTAGGACGTCCGTCCATACTTGGCTAGAATGGGTTCTGAGTATAGTTTCGGATGGTTATTGGTGTATAGGGTAGTTTTGGGCAAGGGGAATAGTAGATGGGGACTGCAGAGACCTGTGCACATCGTTCCGTCGTGAAAGGAGAGAACAAAGCCTGCGAACAAACTCAATCGTTGTAGCGCTCCTCTTTGGCTTTTTGCTTGCTAGCAAGAGCATCGGACAATGGCAAGTCGGCATAGCAGATGCAGAGATCACACAAGACCAGAGCATGCTGCATCTCTAATCCGAGCATAACTCCCAATACCATCATCCGGACACCAAACGGCATCATAGGACGTCGAGAACGGAGCGGGTGATGCAACACGCAGAACGCAAGCTATGGCCATTGCACCTCGCACAGTCCTTGAGATACCACAAAATTTTCGCACATTGAATGGTTTGGCATCAGAAAGCATAGTGTCGATAGAAAATCGGAGATCGGATGAGAAACTACACGATAGGCATCAGTGATATTTGATCTATATCTATTTCCCTCACTTACATAGAGGACACGCACCCATTACAACGACATCCTCCATCTCGGCATCAAGCCCCGCTCCGCTTACAAATCCAGCGAGGTGAATTTGATGATGTGATGTACACAACGCTTCTCATGCTGACCATTGAGCTGCTCAATGGTCGGGAAGAAACAAGGAGTAGTCATTTTCCACCGGCCTCTGCTTTCGGAACGCTGTCCAAAACTATGCCGACGAAGAGGCGTCGCGTGAGAGCAAACATGAGCAACAAATACACTCGCTGCCATGCTCGAGATGTGACATTTTGCAGAATCGGTGTTGGCAGATGTCGGGGCGACGGGGCAGCGCAGCTTTTGTTGGTGGTTCAGACTTGCTTGTCGGTGGAAGTAGTGTGTCATGGTGATTGGCGTTAGGACGTGGCATATCGGTACCTTTTCCATATGGGACTCGAGATTCCTCCTTCGCTTCATGTCCAAGCTGCTCGGTATCGTCGGTGTCCGTCTGTGGATCTGTCTTCTCTTCTTCGGCGTCGCTCCCTCTCTCAACATTATCAGAGACCGCATTTGGGGCGCCAGCTCCCGGCGCATTAGATACAGGTTGGTTCGCTGTGGCTGGGATTGGCTTAGAAAGTTGCTCCTTCAGCGCGCTCGGTAACGACACCTTCCATCCCTTCTTCCTCTCCACGAGCTTCTTCGAATCCTTCTTCGTTTCAGTGTTGCGGTAACGCATGCTTCTATATGTAGCCTCTTTCAGCAAGGTCTTCGGATCTTTCTCATAGTTTGCAAGATGCTCGTAGCGCCGCTTTTCATCTTTCACTTTGTCCCTGTATTGTTCTTCCAAAGCATACTTCCCGCTGTCGTTGTGACGCGGAGGTTGAATGATCTTCCATTTCCCCGGGGTAGAGTAGATGAGGTCTTGCAGCTCTGTTCGACACCATTTGAAGTGCTGCTCTGGATCCCATCGCGCAAGCCGGACACGCTCATCGTAGTCCTCTTCATTGTCGTCTCGCTTGCTCTGCGACATCTGGCCGAACCAGAAGGGACCTTGCATTGTGGCCGAAGATAATTGCGGACTGCTAGTGGACGACGATGACAACGGCGACTTAGCGGCGCTTCGGAAGGCTTTGCGAACGGTTGTGCGATGTACAGTATTCAGAGTTGCTGGAATACCTGCTGAAGTCGAGTGCTTCGAGGCTTTCTGTAGCGACAACGTGACGCGATTCCTGTACCGGCAAAGACTTTGATCCAGGCCGAGATCCAGACGTGCTGTAGGGAAGCGGTTGCTGATGCGTAGTTCGATATGCAGCAACGTTGCAGCACAGGCGCAATAGCTTTTGTAGTGATGGTGCTTGTCGTTAGGCACATCAAAGCTGCGACCAAAGATTAATGTCACAAAGAAGGTCATTGGCAAGATGTCCGGTGTTGTTACTTGAAAGCATTGTTTCGAGGCACATGCGCTATCCGAAGCCTCTGCATATGCGAGTGCTAAATTTCGACGCACATGCGTAGACCTCGCAGTTTGCATGTGCGAGTGACGTCAAAATCCAAAAGCCCTGCAAGGACGTCGAGTGAATGAGAGTATACGCGCACGTGAAAGTTGTAGTATAATCTCGAGGTAGCATTAGGCTGATAGAGACACGAAATTGGTCACTTGCAGGTCTCTGAATTCTGCTGTAGCTTCTGAGACTCTCCAATAGTTCAGGTTGCTGGTTATCGCTTAGTTAATGAGATTCGTCGTGATTTCATAGACGTCCCAGATGTACTCGAGAAGGTTTGCTGCCGTTTGATAGATACTCAATGAAGCAAGAACAAGAAGTCCACGAGTGTCAAACAATATTGTTCCTAGCTTAAAGAATGCCCTCGTCGTAGATGGTGCCACTGAGGCTATTCCAGTCATTTTCCAGAGTTGCCGCCCATAGCTCATTGATGCTTTCGGTCAACGGATGTGCTGCAGCTGGCTCGTCAAGCATGCATGTATCCAGCTTATCGGAGCAGCTGAGAGATTCGTGATCTCAACTCACGCTGCTCGAAATTGCTTCTCGCGATATCTCCCAGCCTATCATTAATGTGAGCACGATTGCCAAGGGTTTTAGTTCTTCGGCACCTTTCGATATCGCTGTCCGTATCATGATGAAGAGGCCAGTTCTTAGCCAGGCGATGAGATGTGTCGAACGCATGGATGCTTCAGTTACGCCAATCTTTATGGTACCTTTCTAGGTGATCAAAGCGTTGAAAGGGGACCTGTCGATGCACATATCTGGTACATGTATGTCATCCTTCGCAAAGAGGCCATTTCCGTGCATTGTACTTTTGCGGACCTCGACGATTTCCAGTAAAGCTTGCAGCATCGACTCGTGGCCGTTCCAGAGAGAGATTCTTTCGCAGCTTTGCAAAGTTACAAAAGCCCTGCGACTCTTCTCGAAGGCGATGGTCTGTACGCTGAAGATATACCTGAATTGCTTGGTCATTGGGCGCCAGGTTCCGATAGAGATCCAGCAGGGCTCGATTGGATTTGGGGAAATCTTCGCTCAAAAGTCGAATACCTTCAGAATAGCACATCCACGCGGTTGAGGGTTTGCCATTCCTCAGCGCAGCGTTGCCTTTCTCTTTGCACTGCGATGCCCCATGATGACTGTCACCAAGTTCTTCCGCATCCGCAAGTGTGGGTAGTTCTACGCTCTCTCTCTCGTCTGTATACGGATGATGCACGCGAATGACGGGCTCGTCATCTCCGCCAAGCGTAAAGGATCGGTAGCGGATTCGGTTCAGCAGTACAGCTGAAGGATTCGACACCGAATGCTCAATTCAGCAAGCTGAGACACTTGATGTAACTGATGTATTGGAAGAAGGACTAATCTATGTAGAAGTCCGAAGATAGAGTGCAGCAGTTGCAGCCTCAGGCATTAGGCACGTAATGGACCCTAACACCTGGACATACACTCCAAGTCACCCCCTCAGCACGTGCATATCGCTATAGAATGAAGCAAACACAATAGCCATTCAGTTAGCAAAGCAAACAAGGGGTATTAGGTAAGCAGAACAAACAGGTAGGCAAACTAGACTACTCTTAGGTTATCTAAACAAGGCCCTTCTTAGTACTTAGCAGCTAGCTTTATAGCGCTCTTAATAGCGGCCTTGCAATCCACTAGGTTTAGTTACTTAACAAAGCGGGCGTGCTTAATCTTATTAAGCGGCTTAGTAAAGCTATCGGCTATCTAATCGTATATACTAACCTATTATACAATAATAGAACTATTAGTAATCTTCTCTCGGATATAGTAGACTCGAGCATCTATATGCTTCGTACGGCTATTAATGCTAGTCGACTTAGTAATAGCGATAGCGGACTAATTGTCCTCGTATAGCGTAACTAGAAGAATATAGCCCTTATAGCTAATCTCCTTTAATAAGCGAGCTAAGGCAACTGCTTCCTTAGCCCCTATAGTAAGTTAAACATACTCAGCTTTAGTTAATAATAGTATAACGAGTGTCTAGCGGCCGGACTTATACAATAGAGGTCCGCCTGCAATAGTAAAGTAGAAGCCGCCTATAGAGCGGCGGGTAACTAGATCGTTAGCCTATAAGGCGTTATAGTAACTAGCAAAGTTTAGCTTATCGTTCTATACGCCTTAGAAGCGTATACCGCGGTTAAGGGTGCCTACTAGGTACTTAATTAGCTAAAGAAGCGCGGTATAATACTCCTCGGTCGGGTTAGAAATAAATCGTAATAATAGGCCGGTAGTATAGCAAGCATCCGGCCGAGTAATTATTGCTAGCTAGAGGGCTTTACTAACACCCTCCTAATATTGAGTCTTAAAGGCGGCACTAGCTATATAGCCTTTAGGTATACGCTAAATCGATGTCTTAACGTATCGAGGCGCTATTAGAGTAGCTAGACCGATACGGCTACGTATACTATATTTCTTACTAAGCCTATTTAGATAGGCATCCTAAACGATATAGATAGTGCGCTAGTTGCGGTTACGGATAATCCGCATACCGAGATAGTAGTGCAGGTTACTAAGTTCTCGTATATTAAATCGGTCCTTTAGTATCTAAGTAACGGCTTCTAGTACTAATAGGCTATAGGCGATAATAATTATATTATCGACGTAGATAACGATAATCGAGCCGCTAACAACGTGTTTAAATACACACACGTCAGTTATTATTAGTACAAAGTCCAGGCTCTTTAAGTACTTCCGAAGCTCTTTATACTATAGCATTAGTAACTGCTTTAGACTATATAGTGCCTTTAGCAATAGGCAAACTATGCCCTTACTACTACGGTCCTTAAAACCGTGTAGCTATTTAACGTAGATCTTGTACTTGTCGCCGATAAGAGCATTAAGGAAGGCAGTTAGGATATTATACTGTTTAGCCTCTAGGTCGTAATAAGCAATTAAGCCAAATAGGGCTCGAAGCGTATAAGGTTTAGCAATAGCCGCATAGGTCTTATTATAATCCTGTCCTTCGACCTATATAAAGCTACGGACGACCTAGCGCGCCTTAAAACGGCTTATATTGCTATTAGCGTCTCGCTTAATAGTAAAGACCTATCGGCTACGGACAACTTTCCTGCCTTCTAGCACCTCTAACCGAGATATATAAACCTATATATAGTTGTCGATTAGTAACTTGTATTTAGCCTTACAAGCTTCCTTCTATTGTAGCTAGTATAGCGACTAAGTCGCCTCCTTATAGCTCTTCGGAATAGGAATAGTCTCTTTAGGCTTATTAGACTGTTTAGCAATGTAACAGGAAGCTATAAAACCCTTAATATAGGCTATCGGCATATTAGCTATTGTACGTCGAGTTAACCGCTTAACACTACAATTAGCTAGATAGCTACGCAACAGGTTACAAGCCGACTTGTTGCTTCGAGTAGTACGTATTAAACGAGCGCCTATAGTATTTAGTCGCTCAAACTCCGGCAACTATCTAGGCTCGCCCTTCTTAGCGTAAGGATCGTACGCTAGTTCTTCCTCGGCTAACTAAAAGCTATCTTTATTACTTGAAGCTAGTAGTTAAACGTCTAGAAGGTCGTCCTCGATTAGCAATAGACTAACAACCTCGTCGGCTAAGTCCTACACTAGCCCTTCTAGAGGTTGTTCTTCTTGCTAAGCTAGAAGTTGCTAGACTATACTAGCGGCTTCTAATAGGGGCGGAGGCTCGTTGCTTATAGCATTAAACAGAGCCGGCATAATAGACTTAATGCTATTAAACTCGCTTTTAGAAGGGTTATTAGGGTTAGTATATAGATCCATGCCATTTAGAAGCAGAAGGTTACTATCTGACTTAATAAACTAAACATCCTTAGAAGCGATAACCTTATATTAATTAGGCAGGTAGATTATATACTTTCTAGAGTCTATAGAGCCCTTAGTATAGCTAACTAGCTTGCTAACTAGGCCTCTACTGTCTATCTTCTTTCTACGAGCAATACTGTAATCGTAGGCAATTAACGTATAGCTATACGCCCGAAGGTGCTAAAGACGCGGCTGTGTTCGTAACTAATTGAGCTCCTTAGCGACAATAGTATATAGGCTTCCTCCGTTAGCGGTTAGCGTAATATTAAGGACCTATATAGCGGAGGCAATAGCATATAGCTATAGAGACTTTAGAAGGTTAGCCTATAGCATTATCTTTCTCGTAGTCGTATATACGATATAATTGCTAACCTTAGCAAGGCTATTCTAAGTTAAAGAATAAGGTACAGTAACTTGTAGTATAATGCCCTCGTCTCGAGCCTAATTTAATAGCTAATTTCCGCCGTATTTACCCCCTCTATCGAGGCGGTAGATTAGGATTAAGTAACTAGTCTATATACGGATATATACACGATAGTCCTTAATAGCCACTGCAGCCCCTAACTTAAGCGTGCTAGTATATTCGTATCGATAGCCTAACTTAGCGTATGTAAACAGTGTGAAATAGCGCTCCTATAATAGACTAGGATTGGTAATAGTAACTATATCTACATAGACAATGTAATAGATCGTAGATAGTCGTACGCGTAGCAGCCGATTGTATTCCTTATGTAATATAGCTATACGATAGGCAATGCAGTTGCGGAAGTCCTTCTTAGTACTAGTAATAACAATTTAACCCTTAGATTCTATTCTTAGTAGCTTGCGGTAATAAATATAGCTATATCGTAGATGCTATTTATCTATAGTACCTATCGGCACCCCCTTCTTCGACAGAAGAGCAACAACCTAACCCTTAGGACTAGAGATTAGTATATATAGATAGGGGAGACTATTCTTTCGGTATATCTAAGCAACGGTAACCTTAGAGCCGTTAACAATAGTAAACAGCATACGCTTGTCATTCCGATAGAAACAGCCCTTATCGGCAAGCTTCTTAGTAGATAGAAGGTTAGCTGCTAGACCTAGAACATACAGTATATTAGACAGCTTTATACTGCTTACACTACGCTTATTAACAACCTTAGTCTAAGCTATACCAACTATCGTAGCGTGCTTTGTATTGCTACTAAACCGGACAGGAATGTAACAGCCTTTATATTTAATAAGCAATAAAGGGTCGTTAACTATATATATGCTAGTACCTAAGTCGACAACCTAATTAGTAGTACGAGTGCTAGTAGTAAGAGCCGTAGAAACCTAGTCGCTAATAGTGACTATAGTAGCGCTTGCAGTAAAGGCGTAATTGTAGTTTAGGTCTAATAATACCCCCGGGGTAGTATTAGCCGCATATAGGCCCTAAGCACTATTCTAACTAGATAGCGGTTGCTGCTATTGCTAAGCAGTTAGTCTACGCTGCTGCTGTTGCTACACCCCCTTCTTCTTAGCCTTCTACTGTTTACGACGTAGTCGGTCTTCCTCCTTTAGATAAGGGTACTTAGTATAGCAGCGGTTAGAAGGGTAAGTGCCTTAACAGTATAAGCACTTCTCGCGATTTTGACTATTCTAGTTGTTTCTACTACGACTACGACTATTGTTGTTATTTCCGCGGCTACTACGACCGCTACGGTTCGAGTTACCTCGACTGTTATTATTGCTATTGCTACCTTACTATTATAGTTAGCGCTAAAGACTAAAGAAGCCGTTATATTGGGCCTAGTTCAATTAAGCTACATTCTTATTAAGCAACGCGCTAATAATGTTATTAAGTGTGTTATCGTTAATAGTGTATTTAGAGGCGCGCATCTGCTCTCGGCGTATCTATGCGAAAGCCTCGTAGAATAGAGAGATCTGCATAATAAACATATAGACAGCCTAGTATTAGCTAATAGCCAATTTGGTATCCTTTAAGGCACTAAGCTTCTTCTTGTACTTATTATAGAACTTCTTAATGTCCTTGCTATTATACCGAAGGGTGATATATTCCTAGTAGAGCATGAATTTAGTAGACCTACCTTTACTAGTATATTTCTTCTTAAGGAAGTCCTATACTTCCTAGGATATAGACAGACTAAGCAGTAATTGTTAAATATTACTAACACAATTGGCAAAGATCTAGGTACGCGCTGTTTGATCTTTAGAGTCCTATTTATCTTGGCGGTTTTTAAACTCTTTAGAAGACTTACTAAAGGCCTTAGAGAGGGGTCGCTAGCGGGTGCCTTATATATAGCGCCAGACCGACATACCTTTAAGGGCGCCTTTAGCGGCATACGACTATAATAGGTAATTCTCCTTATTCTTTAGCTTAAGAATGTTGCTTATATAAGCGCTAGAGGTTGTAGGGGGAGCTATTGCGGACAGCGACGGCGATAATATAGAAAGGGGCGGCCGACAGGCGCGCCTATATTCTAGTATAGCGGATAGCTAACACTAATATTAGAAACCGGTATAGCGGACAGCTAATACTAATAGTGGCCGACTCGAGTCTAGCACCTACTAGAACACTCGAGGGCGGCGAGGGCAGCGACGATATTAGTGTCGGCGCAATTTTTAGTAACGAGCGCTGTCTACGTAGTAGTCGGAGTAACTATTAGAATACGTAGAATGCGTATTAGAAACGCAGGGGGCTTATAACTACT